AAAAATCATATTAAGTGAAGTAAGCCAGGCCCAAAGAAACATAGGTCCCATGGTTTCCCTTATTTGCAATAACTAGTATATGTCTGAGTCAAGCAGAAACAGTCAGATAAGTTGATGTTAGGGAAATGAACCCCAAGATAAGTATTCAAATGTTTTTTTTTCTTTCATGCGATTGTTTCTAACATATTTTTTTTTCTTTTTGCTTATGTGGTGCTGAGGAATCGAACCAGGGCTTCATGCATGCAAGGCAAAGACTCTACCACTGAGCCACCTTCCCAGCCCCTATTTCTAACATATTTATATGTTGCTTTGTATGTCCCTCCCCCACGGTATAACCCCTGCTTTCACTGTATTTGATGTCAGTATAATTTGTGGAGGAGAAGGGAAAAAAACAAACGTTTAAATAGGGATACAGGTGGACCTGTTGCAACAATGAGATGTACAAGTCTTTATGTCAAAAAAGAAACTTTACAACTTTGGTCAGGGAGGGAGCAGAGGATTGGGTAGGAGGGGTGGGGAAGGATGGGAAGGGGAAACAAAGGAGGAGGCAACAATGTTTGAAAAGAAATGTACTCATCTTGCCCATGTAATTATAACCCCTCTGTACAGTATTTTCACACACAAAAAAAGATTATTTCTTTTTTTTTCCCTTGCTTAGACAGATGGTCCTTCAGAATAGGATTTCCACATACTTTTTCATACCCCAAGGGCACAGACATCCAGAAAACTGGCAGGACCTCCAGTGAGATAATCTTTTGATTATGCCTGGCAAATCTTTTCAAAAGTGCTAGTATCTAGAATATATGAAGAACTCTGAAAACTTAACAGTAGAAAATGAAACAATGTAAACTGGGCAAATCACACAAAGAGATATTTTTTCCACAAAATACAAATATAAATGTCAAAGACACGTGTGTAGAGAAGACTAGTCACTAGAGGTAAATGAACCAAAAGCCCTAGGAACTGCCACTGGCATTTATCAGAATGGCTGAAAATAAAAAGTAGTCCAATACCAAATGTTGATAATGAAGCAGAGAAGCTATCAGTCATTGCTGGAGGGACACAGTATGATCTAGCCCTTCTGGAAAACAAGTTGACAGTTTCTTCAAAAATAACATTAATAATAATAAACATCAGCCAGATATGGTGGTGCATGCTTTTAATCATAGTACTCAGCAGGGTCATGAGTTCAATGAGGCCAATTTAGGCTATGTAGAGAGATCTTGCCTGAAAATAAAATGCAACTACCATAAGACTTTGCAATTATACCCCAAAAGATATTATAACGTATATAGAAACCTGGACATAAGTATGTCTAAGCCCAGAAAATGATATAGTCTTGCAGTCAGTGCTATGGTGTATCTCTACCATAAACTCCTTTTCAACCTCCAAAAAATGAACACATTTCCTGATACAAGCAATAACCTAAGTCAACAACCAAAAGACAATGTGATATGTGAACCTCTTTCTATGGCATCCTTTCTTTAACCCTGTTTACTTTTTAATTTTTTTCACTTTTAGTCTTCAAATGGTTGTACAAAGGTATTACAACTTAATATGACCACTTATGTGTTTGGTTCATTTTGATTAAAGACACCCTTATGCAACATTCTTGAAATGTGAAAGGTATAGAAAAGGGAAATGGATTTGTGGTTGCCAGAAATTACGGAGAGGCTGAGAGTATGGGAACTGTAACTACAAATGGATGAGTGGAGGAGTCCCTAAATGTAATGGGAAAGTGGTTTATTTTAACTGCATAAGTGCCGATATTCAGTGGTATTCCTGTTGTAGTTTTACAGTGTATTACCATTGGTGGAAACGGGGTGAAAGGTCTAGAGGAATATTTGAATATTTGTTCCACAACTGCATGTGAATCTACAATTACACAGGCCTGGGTGCTGCCCCTTTCTTCTTCTTCTTCTTCTTCTTCTTCTTCTTCTTCTTCTTCTTCTTTAATAAGAGTCTCATGTACTTTCCTTCCCAGACTAGCTCTGAACTGCCTCAGATCTCAGCCTTCTGAGTAGCTAGGATTAAACTTGAGCCACTGGCACCTGACACATTTGAATTATTTGAAGTGAAATTTTCTTTTGTCCCTACTGCTGATGGTGAATCCCAAATATCGCCCACTAGGGGCAGCCTTGAGATCTAATTTGGGCCAGTATGGAAAAAAAAAAACACCTTTAGCTCTCAGGGTGAAAAGAGTAGGTTCCATGTGTCAGTCATTTAACCTAACTCTTTGCTTCTTTGTCCTTTTGTCTCTTTTTAAAGTCTGGAATACAAATGTCATGCCTAGAGGTGCAGCAGCCACAACACAACCAGAATGGAACAAACAATGAGGACAAATGTCACCTTTCTAAAGCCGACAACTAGAAAGATGCTGCATCTTGGTAGGATCATTATGCAGAGACTCCAATTCAGATTCTGGCTGTATAGGAAAAATCGACTGTATTTGCTTAAGGCACTGTTAGTCAGATTTTCTATTATTCATTGCCAAACACATTTCTAACAGATTTTTTACCATCGCTGGAGACTCTCTGCAGGGCTTTGCCTGTATTTATTAAAGATTGTTGAATAGATGAACCACATGATAGCTACTGATTATTCCTCATGCCTTTCAGAACCAAACTGCTGATACAGCCTTCCTGTCTCTTTCTCACTAGCATTTTGTGTTTCTTATTCTCCTCAGGTTGGTTGGGATTTGTATTGTAATGAGTGTCTGGCCAGCCAATCTCTTAATTGAATCAGCTTAATGGTAGCTCAAGCAACTCAGGATTTTCTTTTTAATGGTCCATCTCACAACTTTGACCTTGGAGCAGCTTCCAAATGCCAATTCATCAAGCACTGCCCCGTGACACTTCTCAGACAGCTGTCATCAAATAATCAATGTTGACAGCTGGGAGGAAGTCTGTTGCTTTCCCAGCCCTCTCACTCCAAGTGAGTGTGGCTAACCTCTTAGCTTTATCTACGTCTTCATGGGTTCATGGTTTATCTATCCAGCCAATCTTGATCTCCAAATAAGTGGCAGTAGGGAGGAATTAGGAATAAAAAATACTGGTTGATTGGCCTACTATCTGTGAGACACCTTATATGCATGATTTAATTTCATTTCACTGCAATCTTAGAAGTAGATATTAATGCCTATTTGACAGGTGAGACCTAAACTCAGTCAAGTTACTTGGAAAGGTAACGTAGGAAGATTCTGACTCAATCATTGGGATATTTAAGTTTTTACACCCATCCCCAAGCCCTAGCAATTAAATCTCCAGGATTTGGGTATTGTTAAAATGTTTTCTTTCATCAGTATAGTCCAAATACTATAACCACGATAAAGTAGTTATCCAGATAAGCTGTGTTTTCTTTTTGTTTAGTGTATATTAATTCTACAAAATAAAAGATTTCTTGATGACATTTTCACCTACACATATAATATTCATTAGTGGTGTGTGAGCCCCTTTCAGGCATATTTATTCCTTCTCTTCCATACTGCTTATCTCTTCCTCTTCCCTAATAGTCTCCCTTCTACTTTTGCATCTTTAAAAACAATTTTTTTTTCAGGGCTGGGAATGTGGCTTAGTGGTAGAGTGCTTCCCTAGCATGCATGAAGCCCTGGGTTCAATTCCTCAGTACCACATAAACAGAAAAAGCTGGAAGTGGCACTGTGGCTCAAGTGGTAGAGCACTAGCCTTGAGCTGAGAGAGCTGAGGGACAGTGCCCAGGCCCTGAGTTCAACCCCAGGATTGGCTAAATAAATAAATAATTTTTTAAATTCCACATGTGAGAGAAAATAGGCAGTATTTGTCTTTATGACTCTAGCTTTTTTTTCACTTAGCATGATGATCTTTAGTTCCATCCA